GGTCTTCCAGATCTCAGATTATATCCAGCTAGGAATGATTGGCTCCTTCCTCTGGGCAGAGCATCTCCCAATGAGATCATGTAATTTTATCAGTCATGCAGTGGCACTCATTGGCCCATTAACAGAAGATATTTCCCAAGGGGAGGGTTGGTTGTGGAAGAGATAAAGAAAATTCACAATTAACAGAAGATAACTGTTCCACAGATAGGAATAGAATACACACACTCATTTCCAACCTAAGACACCCACTTGCTGACCACTTCTGTCTTTTTTTCTGTTTTTAATGACAGTGATTTATACTCTACCTTCCACTTAAATGCTCTCATGCCTTCAGAAGTTGATACACTGAAAGAACAGCAGATTCTGGAACAGAGCAGAGAAAAAAGACAGTTTTGGAGGTTGGAAAACGAGTATACATTCCTAGGAGATGTGTTACTATGTTCTTCCCAGGATAAGAGTTGTAGAATTTTTAAAAATAAACAGAAACATTTTCCAATTCTGTATCAGTATGCATGTAGGAGGGTGACTATTGAGCAGCACCAGCAGAAACACTTACCACACTGCACCCAGGATTACATTTTGGATGATGTTTTAGTCAGCAGAATTCATTACAAGAGGCAATTAAAAAAAAAAAATACCCAGAAGGCGTTTTCTTTTAGGTCATTGTAATTTTGTGTGACTTCTATGCAGTCTTCCCAGCTCCCTCTTTGCTCACTTGCATGCTTTTCAGGGTACACTTGACTTTCATCCTTAAACAATTATTTCTTTGAAACAGCTTCTGTTAGACCCAAAAGACTGAGGGAGAAGAGCCTGAAGTGATTTTGGGGCAGTGGCACCAGTGGCACAGAATGACAGTAGAAGCCTGTAATTCCTGACTACTCATCTGTAGCAGCCAGAGGCCCTGCAAGTCCCTGGAGGTCACTTGCCTTAGAATAAGAAATGCCTAATCATAATGACTGGACCAAAGTAGCCCCTCTTGTATCTTCGGACCCTTGTTATCTCTCTGTAAGACCATAGGTCATATTTGCCTCTACCCTTACTATTGGACCATTTCCCAAAACCCCTTCACCTTATATAAACACACATTTCTACACTGTTCAGCAGAAGAGGTGTCACTGAAACCCCTCGCAGGAGCTGCCAATAAAGACACCACTGTGGAACCTCATACAGCCTTCTTCTTTCTCTCCCTGCATCTGCCAGGGCACCTTAGCAAGCAAAGAGCTGAAATTACTAAAGGGCTGAATTCACCAAAGAGCTAATCTCACTTAAGAGTTGAGCTGCTTGCTAAGATTGCCCGTGGCTCAGAGCCTGACTGAGGGACCTGGACAGGTTGTGCTTAGTTGGACATCGCTATCCAGGACACTTCTGGCAGCCAGGGTCAGATGGACTCCACAAACTCCAGGTGTAATACTCATCCACTCTTATCATGGTGCCATTTCCTGCTGTGCATGAGCATAAGGGAGACTGATGTAGCTGAAAAATAAACTTTTTCTTCTTGTGGGTTATGTCTTAGTTGGGTCACTTTTTCCCTTCAGTTCTCCCCACACCAAATAGCATTGTCAGCACAGCTGGGAGGGCTTTGGAAAGCAGAGATGACCATTTGGGGACTCACCTACTCCTGCAGTAAACTAACTGCCACCTGAAATGCTCAGAAGAAATAATTACTTAGGAAATTATTCACCCTGTACAATAACAGGACAGGACTTTAAAACTATGATCAGAAAAAAATCTTGGGATGAGAATTTATCCAGGTAGTGAAGGTTCAGCCCAATCATTCAGATCCCAGTGTTTTCCGTTGCCAAAGCTTTCCCCTCTGCCATCCACTGTAATAGCTCTGATGGCACTGAACATTTGTGCAGGGAAATTAGAATAATATTTTCTTTTGCTTTGCCTGAGATCAGGTACAGCGCCTGCTTTTCATAAGCATGAGTGTCAGAGGCAGGACAAGGCTGCGAGGTGGTGCTCAGATACGTGCTCAATGTGCAGGCAGGGCAGACATTCATAGTCTTGGGGGAGCTGAACTGAGAAGACCGGTGTCCTCCAAGTTGTGTTATTTGTACAGTATGCATCGCTGTCAAATTATCTTTACTCCTGCCTCATGTTCTCTGTCCCCTCCTGATTCCTTGGCTTTCCTCCTACTGCATCATGTTTTTTACCAGAAGCCAAGGGCACAAGGGTATGCACACTCCAGTTGATTTTGAGCTGCTTGTGCTGATTATTCAGCAAACAAATCAAACAACTTCCTGTTCGGGGTGTCCTAAGGTTCTGCTCAGCAGGATGGACATGCTCAGCTCTGCTCTGCAAGGCACTGCCTGAAGTAGCAGCAAACACCTATTTGGGGCTTACCTCCTTCAGCCAGTTGCAATGAAATTTGAGAAGTTAGTGCAACACTTACTAGGAACAAGGAGGAAGCTATGAAAAGACAGAAAAGAAAAAAAAAAGAGACATAGGAAAAGAAGGTTTGTAAGGCTGGTCTCCTTAGGAAAAAATCCAAAGCCATTGCATTCCAGCAGGGGGAATGAATAATGTGTTTAGCATAACTTGTTGTGCTAGTATGTACACACCCTGCAAAGGCTCTCTTCCACAAACACTGAGGAGTTCTATAGTGATAGAACTATTCCTTTACATTCTGATACCAGATGACTGTACTGATTATTCCTGTACTGTCAGCTGCACAATGGATACGTTCTCCGTGTACGTATCTGCTGTTCACTTCAAGGGCTAACTTTTAAAATAATTTTCTTCCTCTGCTAATTATTTATAGAGGTAAAAACCCCAATTAATATTTCCTGCTTGCATTCTGCTTTTGTAAGAAGCAGCAGACATTTCTGATGGCTATTTTGAATATAAATACAATATTGAGGATAACCAAATTACATAGAGTGGCAGTGGCTTTCTCTTTGGGTTTTTTTTTTTTTCAGACTCAATATTGATCACTGGGACAAAAAGTGTTCGCTGTCCTTTGCCATTTACTGGAGACATAATGAACTTATATGTCAGAGACACTGTGTTTAACTTTAGACAGCAATAGTCAGAGGAAACACAGCTCCAGCAGGAATGGATTCCTACTGGCTTGGCTGTCTAGGGTACGTTAGTATTCTCTAAAAAGACTGAAGTATTTTAATCTTATTTTCATCCTGGTCTGTGCATTTGATTTTGGTTCTTTTCAGGACTAACCACCCTTCATATATTTCCCAAGTCTTCCCTCTACAAAACCTCCGATATACAACCACAGCCAGACTTTTTCAGGCTCTTACCAATAGCTAATTGATCTTGCAAATGAATTATTAAATCCTGTTTCTGTAATCTCTTCTACCCAAGCTGCACACATCTGAAGATGACAGAAACATACTCACTGTAGTCCAGTTCACTTTAGAGACTACTGGGCACCCCTCCACATCACACACAGCCTTTTTCTATGCTTCTTTAGCTTCTTCAATCAAACCATTAAAAAAGGCTATTCATAGCTAAAAGAACACCAGAGTGAGCCAACACAGAAATGTATTAAATTATCATGGAACTGCAGAAATACTGCAAGCCTGGTGACACTCAAGAGAACTAGATGCACCTTGGCCAGTTTAGCGGCATATGCTTTGGTGATCCAACCTCCTTCCCATCTTGCTCCAATGTTCTGACTCTTGCCGACCATAGAGTATTTCTAAGAAAGGGACAAACATTTTAATTTAGACATAAAGTCTAGTGGCTCTTTAAAATATCAGTGTTAAATACATTGATAATAATAATAATAATAAATAATGTTAAAATACATTGGCTCTCAGTTATTTGCTTTGTTTTGCAACATAGAAGAATGGCCTGGAACAGTGTACTTTGTGCTAAAAAAAGATGCTGATGCTAAAAAATGAGAATGAGGTGAAAAGGCAAACCAGAAGATTTCTAAACTGAGAGTTAGGAGGAATTATCCCCCAGGGATTGCTGGAAAACTTTTACTTTCTCTTGCAAAATGAAGTAATGTTATTTTGTATGGTCACTGGGCACTTTTCACTAATAAACTCTGCACTCTGTCAGAGGCACAGAGTGCTAGCAATTTCTCTGCTTTTGCTAACTGCAAATTTTAGGAGAGTGCTTCTGGAACTAAAGGTCAGATGCTGGCATGAGAGAAGTGGCCTGTCTAGGAAAGTCTGAGTACCATTTGTACAAGGTTTTAACTACACAAAGATTCTCAGGAAAATTGTGTCAAATATAACTATTTTAAAACTGCTTCAAATCTCTAAGGGGCAGCCTTATTTGAAATTTAAGAGGTTTTGATTCAGTTTAGCTGAATGGTGTTTTGTTATTCCACCTAATAATGGATGTAACATGGAGGCTCAAGTATTTCACTCCTAGTTAATATTTTTAATTCATTCTGGTAATTTTTTTTGTTTGAAAGTCTTAAGGTTAAACTTAAGCAAGATATAAAAGTCTGTGACTAGTCCATGATCTAGAAGTAAAACCTGCTATAATGACATGAGCTACATTGGCAAGGATAAGGCTGAAGGGTTTGATTAGAGATTCTAGAATTGATTTTGCGAATTCTGTAATTTTCACTGCTGAGTAATTATTATCTTCAAATGCAGCTTGTTTTCTTTCTCTGGTCTCTAAATGCACCAGTAAAAAGCTTACCAGGATTCTGAAGAGCCTGTCTTTAAAATTCAAATGCATCTACTGCAATTAAATAAGTTTGGATAGTTGTCATAAGCTCCTTTACAGGAAACTCTTCATATCACTATTTTCAGGACTATTTCTATTTGCTCAAAGGAATCCTCTGCACAGACAGCAAATTAAGGTGGTGTGGTGCCAGGACAAAAAAAAACCAAAAGAGAGTGACTGAGGGAAAGGGAAAGAGACAGTAAAGCCTGTGCTCTGTTTCCTGGGCTTTTCATTTCTCCTTATCACTATGGCAGCTGGGCAGTGAGGCAGCAAGACAATCACTAATAATCCCTGCTGAGACTTTCCAGCCTGGGTTTCTCACTGACTGAAATCTTTCATTCTGTCTTTTTCAGATTGCCTGCCAGGATGATCTGGGTGTCAGTGGAGTGAGAGAGCTTCTTCAATTCATACACATATTCTCCATTTAGCATTAAGTGTTTCACTACAAGAGGAAGACAACTAGGGTAGGAACATGACAAAACAAAAGTAAGTGAGAATTTTTGTGCAGCATATATAAGCAACTGAAACATTTCTATTCAAGTTCCTTCTGGTCAGGTGACAATGGAATTTCTTTACTACACTTGGGCAAAATAGGATCAGTGTCTCTCTCCCCAGATGTGAGTCATAAGTATCCTATTATGCTACTTAGGAAAGAAGAACTATCCAATTCTAATAACAATAACAATAACAATAACAGAAAAAAAAAAAAAAAAGTAATGCAACTTCTTTCAATGGAAAAGCAAGAACTCACTGCATTGGCTACAGCTCTATGTGTGTTCATTTTCTTTAGTCAGCTTGTCTGTCAAGAGAAAGACATCCCAAATAACATAAACAGCAATTGTTGGCTGGATCAAGGATGCTGTGGAGTGATACGTTTCTGTGTGATCTGATCCACTGAGTGGATATCATTAGGTAAAGTACCTGATCTTATCAAATGCAGTTCCACTGTTGGCCCTAATTGATGTGAACCTTGCACAGCACCCTGCAGCACCACCCTTCATTCCAGTTCATGCCCACAGCAACAACGTAGACTACTTCACAATACCTGAGAAGAAAACCAAAAATTATCCTATTTTCAGAGCACAACCTTAGCTACAATGGTATGTTTTATCCTTACCTTACAATGAAGTAAGGATAAAGTCATGTCTAGAGGAGAGGACACCAGAACAATCCTCAAGGACAAAATTTTGAGCAAGGACTGAAGCTTTGTTCTTCAAAGCTTAGCTTTTAAAATTAATCTTGTTGCTGCTTATCACACTTTGGTAACATGAAAGTGCCTCTTCCACAAATAAGCCATTAAGACAGGGATGTCTTTTAAGACACTGGTGTTTCTATCTTTGCTTCAAAGCACCAATGATCAAAATAGCAGGACAAGATAGAATCACTCTGCCTGTAGCCAGTGTATGAGGAAATTAAGGGGGGTTAGGAAGCTCAGTACAAGCCCTTCATCCTATTTATTTATCTATTGTAATTGTTTTTAAGAAAAAAGCTACATTTGCTGTGAAGTCAAAGACCTGTACACACATATGGCAGGTCTGGTACTTTTATTTCGAAGTATGTTCCACTAATACGCATTTTAAATTTTTTTTTTTTTCTTTCTCTGACTTTTCCTTCCTTTACTTCACCTCTATGATCTGATCTAGAAGGCACGGAATAGATGTGCCAGCTGACACAGGACTGAGGGCTGTGTTTCATACCTGCTCTTCTGGGTGCCTGGCACTGCATTATCACAAAGTAACTGCTATGGCTCCAGTTAACAACCCAGTTAATGAAAAGGCTCATTTGTGTGCTGACACAAAAATACATCTTTACCACAGAAATATTGATGCACATGGCTTTTCTCCACTGAATTTGGAATCCAGTTATCTCCTCTAGGGTAGTTAGTCTGCTGTGAGCGTTTTGGGTACTGTTTTACTTTGCCCAGTTACTCGTTGCCTGTAGATGTCACTTTTCCACTTTATAATCTTAGACTGGCTGCTTCTTATGTTCTTGAGCCCATTTTTTTTATTTTTTTGTGCTTCAAAGCTCAGCTTTTAAGTGTGCTTTCCTTGAGTGTGCAACCTGCAATCCCTTTCTTCATCTGCCATTGACAGCACCTGTGTTGATTGGCCAAAGCTCTTCTGTTCCCATCTTTGGGATGAATCTGTGCTCTGCTATTTCTTCAGGAGACTCCAGGCACACAAATCTTCTCCCAAAAGAGAGGATTTCCCTCTGCCCTCCAGGTGAGAGGGCTCCCAGACCATCTCCCATAGAGCCTTTCCTCTTGGAAGCAGCACAGTTCTGCTGGATCAAAGATAATTTTAGGTACTGTCCTGGGTATGCTAAAGCTCCATATTTACCTGTATATTTGCAAACACATCTGGGTAATACATGAATAGTTCACAATGCTGTGTCTCCACCTCCCACCTTACCAAAGAGGATGCATTTCACACCCATGTGTTGGGCTTTCATAGCAAATTTGGTGGCTACTACTACTCCTACAACTTGAGGGAAAGACAGTGTTTGAGGTTTTGTGGGTCTTTTTAATTTGGAATAGGGTTTTGGAACAGGTAATGGGTGATGCTCAGCCTGGTCACAAGGCTGTGCACTTCTTGGTTATAGGAGTTTCAGTCCAGCCAGGTCCCCTTTAGTGGCCACAGTCTGAGCATACCAACAATGCAAGCTCCAAATTGTCTCTTTTCTAGGCTTTCTTACACAACTTTTTTATTCAGTTAATGTCCAGGTCTCCGGTGGTTTTCTTCATACCAGGCTCCCCTCTGCTTATGCTAAGAACATGTGCACATTCTTTCCAAGAAACACCCAGCTTCAGTCACTTCACTTCTTACCAACTGTAATTTTGTAAAGTGTTCAACTCTTCCTTGTAGTAATGGCAAGTGAAAGACTACAAGGTTCAGGAAAAAGCAACCGTATTTGCCATATTCCTGGTAGACTAAGTAATTGCAAATTGCTGGAAGACTCTCTGCAGTTCCTCTGCACTAGCATTGGATTGCTTGGCTCTCCCACTTTCTTCAAAAAAGAATCTCAGTTATTAATACAAATATTATGAATCCCTCTCTTTCTCTCCTCACCACTCAGATTTTTTCTTGTATTTTTTTCCCTCATCTGCTGTTCTGTCTCTGCATAATTCACGCAGTTAATCTTTAAACAATACTGAGGAAAGCAGAACATTCTCGCTATTGGAAGGGAGCAAGGGTGTGGCCTCTCCAGTGCCGAATGCAGGGGGACGATCACTGTCCTGGCCCTCCTGCCACACCATGGCCAGGACAGACCATTGATGTTTTGCCCACATTCAGCATCTGTGACGCCCTTGCCCCCCGGTCCGGCCGGGACACGGCTCCATCCAGGGGCGGGCAGGGAGGCGGCCGCTCCGCCGGGGCCGCGTGTGGGCGGGGGAGGCTCCGCCCGCGCCGCCATCTTTGGTGCGGGTGAGGGCGCCGGCGTCTGGTGCCGCTGCGGTCCCGCCATGTCGGGCGAGGGCAAAGTGGCGCCTCCATGACGGGTGAGGGCGAAATGGCGGCCGGAAGGGGCGGCGGGGGGCGGCCATTGCTGACGGGACGGGGTGCGGCGGCGGCGGAGGAGGAGGCGGCGGTTACGGCAGCGACGAGGCGGCCGCGGCGGCTCTGTGGGGACGGCCGGGGCCGCAGAGAGCCGGGAGGTGCCGTGCGGAGGACGGAGGGGGCGCTGGGGGCTGCAGGCAGCGCACACCCGCGGAGGGAGGGACGGGCCCGCGGCGTGTCCGGCTGGCGCTGTGGGGAGGTGCCGGGTCAGGGGCAGGACCCCCGCGGGATGCGGGAGAGCGGAGGAGCTCTGGGAGCGGCTGGTGTGTGGGGGAAGCTGAATCGCAGAATCGCAGGGTTGAGATCACCCTGTGCAACCCCCTGCCAAGGCAGAGTCACCTGGAGCAGGTGGCAGAGGAACACATCCACATGGGCTTGGGATGTTTCCAAAGGGGAGAGTCCTCGATGTTTGGGGAAGCTGCTCCAGTGCTCTGCCACCCTCAGTGTTTTTCCCCATGTGGAATTTTTTGGGTTTTAGTTTATGGCCACTGCTCCTCATCCTGTTGCTGGGTAGCACTGAAGAGTCTGAAACACCCTCTTAGTACTCACCTTGGAAATAATTGTGTGCATTAATGAGATCCCCTCACAGTATTCTCCAGACTAACCAGGTCCAGATATCACAATCTCTTTTTATAAGACAGATGCTCCAGAGGCGTCATCATCTTTGTGGCTGCCACTGGACCCTCTCCAGCAGCTCCTTGTCTTTGTACTGAGGAGTCCAGTCCTGGACACAGCACCCCATCCATGCCATGCTAGTGCCAAGCAGAGCAGAGGGTTGGAAGTTTTCCCCTTTCTCCTCCAATGCTTAAAATATTCCTGCTGAGTCTGATCTGAAGCCATGGAAAAATCCTGTTAGGCTTGTGGATGGAACATTGTTTGACTGGAGTTCCTGCTGGGGAGTATAAACTCAAATAATAGTTTTAAAATCTGCCCAGTGCTTTTATTTCTGTTGTTCTGTGTCTGTACATAAATCCCGGTTTATATGTGTGTAGTGTCTGTAGTATAGTTCCTGTACTGTAGCAGGAACATCAGGTGGTGGCAGGTGTAGTAAAGGTTTTTGATTTAGTTGTAAAATGATAGTAAGTAAGAAAAGAAAATGTAATTTGAGTTTCAATTGATAGGGCTTGTAATCAGAAATCCACCTGGTTTTTTTTAAGTAAATACAGAATGACTGAGTACAACTTACTCTGTTAGTTAGCAGAGCAGATCAGCAGTTCTGTGTCAAGAAGGAAATAAATATGACATTCAAAGAAATGTACATTCATGATTAGAGTTCTTTACCTCTTCTGTGTGTGAGCAGCAGAAAGGATTGTCAGGCACTGGAAGGGCCTTGTCCAGGGAGCTGGTGGGTTCCCTGTCTCTGGTTGGATGTGGCACCCAGTGCCATGGTGTGACTGACAAGGTGGTGTTGGTTCATAGGTTGTACTCGGTCTCAGAGGTTTTCCCATTCTAAATGATTCTGTGAAAGACTGGGTCTGCGGCCATAAAAAATTAGTGGGTTGGGGTCTTGTGTACAGTGTATGAGGAGGTTGTGAGAGGGGAGCTGGAGCTGAGAGGGGTGATGCCAGGAGGCAGTGGAAGGGGTATTTTGTCCCTGGACAAAAAGTGTGAAAGGCAGTGAGCAGTGCTGGCTTGCTGGACTGACAGGGGACAGATGAGATGTTTTTAGTGATAGCTGTTCCCTTCCAATTCTCTTGGAATTCCACCTAAAGTCAGAGCTGCTGCTAAGAGAAGGAAAATGGTTCAGTGGCAGTTGTCTTTCTTTGTAAATTTGAGATGTAGTTTAATGTTTCTGTTAAAAGATACCTCACAGGATCTGTGCTGTTTCAGTAACTCAGAAATAATTTTTATACTATTTTGCATATGATGAAGGGCACTGCCAAGCTGAGATGCTTGTGAATTGCTGAGATTTGGCAAAGCAGTGTACGATCTTCATCTTCAAAACACAATGGCCTTGTGGCTTTCAGTCGAACTGCTCAATTAAAGCAGGTAGGAACTGGGAGGTTCAGTTCATAACCCCTAGTTTGACTGTAAATGCCATTATAGGCTTAAATGGAACAAGTCAGGATTTACTGGTACAGTCTGCACTTCATTCACTTCTGGTTTCATTCAGTCTAGAGGCTGCCACAGCACCAGTGGCTGTGGGAGAAGACTGCAGCTCATGTCTAGTGAAGATTGATTGGTTCCATGTTTCATCTCCAGTCACTTCCATTTGTATTGTAAACCTTTTGAGGATACACTTGTAATTTTGCTCAATAATATTATAGGGAACTACAGGAATTACTGTTCAGACATGAGAAAAGCCTTTTTTAATGTTAAGGATGATCAAGCACTAGAGAGGCTGCCCAGAGTCATGGCTGAGTTTCTGTAGCTGGAGATGCTCAGGTTGCCTGGACAGGACCCTCAGCAGGCCCTGCACTGGACATGCTTTGGCTGAGCCTGCTTCATGCAGGGCACAGGGCAGGTGGCCTCCTGTCTTCCCTTGCAATCCCAGCTGTTCCGTGATTCTCTAGTAGTCCAGAGCTTTTCAGACTGGATTGACTTAGGAGTAGGTTCTCTTGAAAAATGTTCACATCTCTCCTGGTACACAGCAAAACTCTTGGAATGGGTCTTTGCAAGCCTTGGCTCCAGGTTGCTTTTCAGTTCTGTAGGTTTTGTAAGCTCTCTAAGTACAGAGGTCATTTATTTCCAGGGTGTTGCTACTCTCAGCTTTGACTGGCTTTGTGTGTAGATTCAATAGGAGCAGTTTGGTTGTTGTGCAGTGAACTGGTGCCACATCCACACTGTCTCAGTTTTTTCCCAAGTCTAACCTGACTCATTTTTGTTAATGCAGAAAAGCAGAGAGTGAACCTGGATGAAGATTTTTTTGCAAAGAGGGTGATAAGGTACAGTGCTTTTATTTTAATGTTACAGTGCTGTGGATATTTTCCCCATGAACTTTCTGCTTGCAGTGCAGATCCTGCTGGTGTCTTTTACTGCTAGTGTTGGACCAGAATGTGTGAGTCAGCACAGGCTGGCACAAACTCCCAGTTAAAACACACGGAATAGATTTATTTCCATTACCTTGCTACTTGTGGGATCTCTAAAGCAACACCTGGGCGGAGGTGCAGTATTAGAGATATGGGCACCCTTAAACTCAGCCTGTGCCTGAGGATCATGGACTTGTCAAGGGTTATTCCCAGCTGCAAGGTCACTTGAATGATTTACAGTCCTCCTTACCAGTCTTCCACATTTAATCCATTTCTTCCAACAAATATTTTTCAAAATCTTTCTGGTTCCGTGATCTTCTCTGTTTTGGGCATTTTATTACCATAATGGGTCAGCATGTTAAAAACCACAAATAAAATTGACCGCATGGATGTGTATTTGCTGTTTTTTAAATAGCGCTCTTTAATGTTCAGGGAGAACTTGGAGAAGGTGGGAATCTTTACACTTCAGCCACCATGTCTGGAATCGGCAATAAACGGACAGCAGGAGAGCCTGGCCCTTCTGCACCTCCAGAGAAGAAGGCAGGGGTTGAAGATTCAGGCACCACTGTGGAGACCATCAAACTCGGTGGTGTTTCTTCAACGGTATGTCTTTCTTGCATATCCCCTCTCCACCTTTTGGTTTTTTTTCATCTGGAGGCAGAAATGTCTCTGGGGTCAGGTTGAGCCTGTCTGTGACCTGGCCTGTATGCCATATGCCTGTGCCCAGGAGGAGCTGGACATCCGGACCCTGCAGACCAAGAACCGGAAGCTTGCAGAGATGCTCGACCAGCGCCAGGCCATCGAAGATGAGCTGCGGGAGCACATTGAGAAGCTGGAGCGTCGGCAGGCCACCGACGATGCCTCTCTGCTGATCATAAACCGGTACTGGAATCAGGTTGGTAACAGCTTTTGTTACTTCATATACAGTTTTCTTGTCTCCCTTGTATCACTGCAGTCCTTTTGTTCACATCCATTCTTTATCTTGCCTTGCCTTGCCTATCCCATCATTCAGTTTGATGAAAATATCCGCATCATCCTGAAACGCTTTGACCTGGACCAAGGTCTTGGAGACCTCTTGTCTGAAAGAAAAGCACTGGTGGTGCCAGAACCTGAACCAGACTCTGACAGTAATCAGGAGCGCAAAGATGAGAGGGAACGAGGTGAGGCAACTGTCTGGGGACAGTGGGATTTCAGCTATGGACAATGCTGATGCCCATTTCTAAAGGCTGTCTGTCACTATAGGCCACGAGAAAGCAAGACGCGTACTGCTGCTATTATAAAGGTAAAAAAAAGGAAGTTTATTTTCTGACTCCAGCATTTATAGTTTTCCAAAGGTGACAGTGGATTGGAGGGTGAAAATGGCACTTCTCCAACAACACTGGACAAGCTACCAATCTATCAAATTTCTCTGCCTCTATGAAGGAATGCAAAAATATTACGTTATTTACAGAAAGTGTGTGAGAAAGTTTGCTACAAGAATGTAAACTCAGAAGGCTTTAGTAAATATTAAAAAATCAGGGCCACAGCTGACAGTCTTTTTGTGATTGTAAAGAGCAGTGATAGGCTACCTTCTAGAACACACTTTTTCTCACCTCTTTATGTTCCCAGGGGAAGGATTGGAGCCGGCATTCTCTTTCCTGGCCACTCTAGCCAGCAGTACCAGTGAGGAGATAGAATCTCAGCTGCAGGAGCGTGTGGAGTCCTCCCGCCGTGCTGTTGCCCAGATTGTGACAATGTATGACAAGCTGCAGGAGAAGGTGGACGTGCTGTCTCACAAACTGAATAGTGGAGGTATGATCAAGGTGGCAGGTATTCAAGAATGCTTGTCTGCCCCCACCTTAGACCTGATCATGCATTTAACATTAAGGTCTAGTCCTTCTCACATGCTTGTATTTTCCAAAATGAATTTGTTTGGCTTTCCAAACTCTTGTTATCATAACCTCTTCTGAAGGATCATGTGCCAGAAGTGCATTGTAGCTACCTCTGTATTTGAATGATGAGGGTTCTGCCCAGAGTATTGGGCAGCTTGTTTCTGCCAGTACTGTGTTCATGTGCCTGAGAAGTCAGAGAGCAGTTAAACCTTCTCAGCTTCCACATAAAATGCTTCATGCTTACAAGTAAAGAAGTGAAATCAGCACTGCAAACTGATGGTGGACTCCTTCTTTGCAGTTTAGTAGAAGGTGTAGGAATAACAAGCTGCTTAGTGTCGCTGTCAGTTTTGAACGTAGCAGATATGTGCAGAAAAAGCCAAATGACCATCTTCTAAAAATTAATGTAGCAGATTCACTTTAGACTCAGATGGATGACTGTTGAAAAAACATCATTCGCTTAAGGTTAGATTTTCATTCTTATGAATGAAAGCCAACTCATGCTTGATGTGCCTTCTGTGTGCTCTGACCGAGTCTGGCATTGGTGTAGGGAAGTGTTGCTGTCCTTGGCTGGCAGTCCTAAACTGTACTAGCTTTGACACTGGTGCCATGTGAGCCTATCCTCAGGTGCTTTAGTTTCACCTGTGACCCTGGTGCTGTGGTTGTCACATGGTGTCGTGGTGTGTTGGCCTGGTGTGTCACCCTGGGCCATCTGTTGCAGCAGGTTTACGCGTGAATTTGGGCAGCATTGGGGTGTCCCTGGGTTCCAAGGGCATGCTCTGGGTTGCTGGCACAGACACAGCTGAAGTGATCTCTGGTGAGAGGGAATGGCCCCCAGGTCAGAAGTGGGCAGCACTGTTAAACTGCAGAGCCTTTTGTTATGGAGTGCAGGTCAAAGCTCTCTGGATGGAGATCAGGCCCTCAGGAAACACCTGTGGGAGAGGTAAACTGAAGTTAGACCCAGACTCCTTTTTCTGTTTTCTTATTTCTCTCTTTGCTGTTCATGAATTAAAATCAGTGTTGATTAATTTCCATTAATTTCCTTTTCTTTCTGCACCTTTCAGATATTTCACTGATGGAAGAAGCAGTAGTGGAGCTGAATACCTACCTGTCACAGGAGAATGGACGGCTGCAGGAACTGGCTGATGTTCTTCAGGAGAAGCACAGAGTCATGTCTCAGGAGGTATAAAAAGGAAAGAAATCTGCTTTGGGGACCTGCTTAGCATAATTTATGGTTCCCATAGATTGGAAAGCAGCTAATTTCCTTGGAGAGGCACAGGAGGAAGATGGTTTGAACGTTATGAAAAAGGTTGTTGTTGTGGAGAGCTGTACATAGATTTTCTATATAAATCAGATTGATTTACATGTCAGTGAACTGAATGATTTAACTTTTAAAGGAAAGGGGAGAGCAGAGGAACTGGGGACAGGTGATGCTGAGGTGACTGTAGACACATGGAACAGTGGAGGTGACATCCTGTCATTCTCAGTTCCTTGGTTTCTCTGTGTTGTTTGACAGTGTAATGATACCAGTTTCAGGATGATCCCAGTTATTAAATGATTCACATTATTAGCAGCATTTGTTTGAGAGATTTCAGTTCATTTAAAAATTATGTTAATGCTGGTCTTGCCCAGCTTTAGACCTCTGAGTGCTTAGGTGCTCTGTAGAGTAGATGGACATAAGGATTGAAAAGATTAAAATCAAAAAGCCTTTGAATTAGCTGAGGTGGCTCCCTCTGTATTCTGCCAGATATTACCAGCTTCCTGCTCTCTTTTGTCTTAATTTTGTTGCTGTCTTGAGATTTGGCCAGTGTAAAATTCAGGACAGTTCATGGAATAGTCTGTCACTACAGCAAAAAGTGAAAAACAGGATGAATAAGAAAAAAATGACTCCCGAACAGCGTCAGGAAAAGTTGGCACTATGCAAATGTGTTGGCTGAAGCACTCCTTTGATTGCAGTTCTCCAAGCTGCAAGAGAGGGTGGAGACAGCAGAATCCAGAGTGTCTGTCCTGGAGACCATGATTGATGACCTTCAGTGGGACATTGACAAGATCCGCAAGAGGGAGCAGAGGCTCAACCGCCACCTGGCTGACGTCCTGGAACGAGTAAGTGCTGGCCAGGAAACCTGGGAATGGGGGTGGTGTTGGATGGGTATGTGACATCCTCTCTGGGACTTTGCTGGGAGAGCTGAGAACCTGCTGTGTGTACTGCTTTGGTCTTTGGATCTGCTGCATCACTCGGTATTTCACTGGGTCTTGAGGAAATCTCTTGCATATTTGCAGGTAAACTCCAAAGGCTACAAGGTGTATGGAGCTGGGAGCAGCCTCTATGGAGGAACAATCACCATTAATGCCCGCAAGGTGAGGTCAGGAGCTTGGCTGTGGGCAAGGGGAAGAATACAGTCAAGGAGAACAAGGGCCACAATGTGAACAGAATTTAGGTACTTATTTTAGATAATTTTTAGATCCTGTGCCACAAAGAGCTGCATGACTGTGTAAGCCATTTTGTCTGTGGATGAGGTTTCTACTTAAAAAACACCTGGTGGAATTAGACTCTGTCTCTCTTGGTCAAGTTACCTGACTGCTCAGTCTGTGATTGCTGTTACTGCATGAACAGATAGTTCATTAGCATTTTCAGGAG